CACGATAGTGCATGGTTAATGGTTGTACAAACTAAAGCTGAAACTGAAACTGCCCCATCAAAAATGAATTTAAAGCATGAATTTTCTGACAGTGTTTCAGAAGAGCAAGAGCGAACTAAAGAAGTACCACTTATTTCCCTGACATTCGCAACGGATCTTTGAAATTCTACCCCAAACTACTCAGTTTTTCAGGCGTTTTAGTACCAAGAAAATGAAAATAATTCCTCGGTAGTAAAATTCTGAGAAACATGACCATGGAGATACCTAATCTGACAAATTCGTATTATGAGAATCTGGGGGTGAATTAAAATGAAATCAATGTTTTCATTTCAGTTCGTGTCAAAACCAAAATTAGATACTATGAATACTATCTACTGCATTGAAACACTGTGGATTTATGGCAACAGACTTGAGGCGTTTATGGAACTGAAGTTCAAGTACGGTGTTAGCTTGCAGGTGGACAACAATACAATCCATCTCGCCTGTTCACCGAGCTTGGCGATTTGTTTGCAAACGTTTCATCACCAGCCGAGGTATCGATTTATCTTCTGCTCGAATAGCAACGCATAAGGATGGCGATACTTCCAAACTTAATCTAATCGATAGTTGATAGCTTGAAAATTCTCCACGAACGTTAGGTTCAGAGTCAAAACACTTTTATATCATGGGAATCACTTACAAGGTTATGCTTCACTTGCACCCACAGGATATTTGCGCAGTGGAATCGTTTTTCGGCAAAAATGATAAATGTGACGTACTTCCGCGCAGGAGATAACACATAATGTAGTCTTCAACTAATTTACATTCCTAGTTGTGTAGGAATGCAAAATGTGCCAGGTTTTTATCAAATCTCTGCTTGAAACATTCAACAGTTGGCTCACAGACAGGATATCCAGTTCTTGGGGTAGGGTAAATTCTTTTATATTAGGATTTCAATTTCACTCTTTTATCTAAGAGTTTATGTTATTCCTGTTAGGTTGGACGATACCTGGAACTACACGTGCTGTGCAAGAAACGTCGGTGACGAACGCAGATGGAATACCACCATTCAAGTTATGCAACGTCCACAAATCTTACCTCGAGGTGAAGTGCTCTATACGGATGAGCGGAGCGGATTACGGTTTGGCTGGCGGTTCAATGCGACTAATCTGACATGTGCGTCTGTCGGAATGCCTCATCCAACGTGGTAAGTTAGTGAGTCGCTACGGTAATACTTGTTTCTGTTTGCACTGGACATTCAAACTGAATTGTTTATTCTGTGATGGCACGATTGTGATAAAATTATATTAGCTTTTTCCCAATACTTCAAGTTATACTGTTATTTTTCAACTCACTGATCAAAAACTCGAAAGTTTTTGGTGCTGATGATCGTCAAAGATGTGTGCGGAAGATAAACCATGTTATTTGTCTATATGTGAAAAGTGAGAAGAAGGAAGTTAGTTCTACATCATTGCGGGTACTGGATTTGTTAGCTTCGTTAAGTATGGAATCCATGGTTGAACCGCCAAAAGAAGGCTCTAAAACGTCCGCAAAAGTTGGCAACGAAATTGATAAAAGGTCTGTATAGCAAGAGATACTCCGAAAGACTACAAATATTGGGACTCTACTCATCTCAATACCGCCGACTTCGAGGGTACCTAATCTTGATGTATCACATACTGTATCGACCCATCCACCCTTGCATTTCTATGCTGACTTTATCTCAAAATGATCAACTCAGGGGACATTCACCAAAGTTGAAGACCCAGAACAGCCATCTTTATTGCCAGTGTCACTCGTGTGAGGCCAGAGTGTGCGATGTATGGAATTCTCTTCCATCCGATGTAGTGTGCTCCTACAATTGAACTAGTCAAATCGCAAGTTGATAAAGCATTGGAACACTTAACATTTCGGCATTCGTGAGTTGTCATGCATATTATTATTGTCATTTTCTCTCCGCAAAGTTATTCAAAAAATCCTGTAAACATCCTATGGGACATGATAAGCTTCAGCTTTGTTAAATCACCCATAATAAAGCTTTGACTTTGTATCATCGTGTATTCAATAAAAAGAAGTAAACATATAAAAGAGGGATAATAAACTATTGGATATTTCTATTACAAAGTCCGTATCATTCGGTTTAATCATAATTTCGCTTTATGTACCTAACATCATGTTTCTGTACATTGGTTTCTTTCGGGTACTCCTTTCAACGACGAATGTGAAAAGAATCTCATACATAAACGGAAGCAAATATTAGTAGTAATAGTAGTAGCAGTAGTACTAATAGTAGAAGTACTGGCAGTCTCTTTCAGTTAGCAGTGGTTCACCTCCTGTCAAACTAACGAAGAATCGACACATCTATATTTAGTTCCGTTTACCAAAAGACACTTGTTAATAATAAACCAAAAAAGTATCAAAACATTTTAGGGAAAAACTATATGATCAACTAATAATCATTCTCTTTATCTGACAATCGGTTACTATCGATACTTCACCTGCACAGGACCTGGTACCGGAGAGGGGAACAAATCTTGAACGGGGTGAATGCCACGTTCCAAATTATCACCTGGGATCACTGGAATTGGAGTCAGACGTGGCTCCAGGTTACTCCGTGTCTTCACACCGAACATTTTATTTACGATGAATATGTGTGCAAAGCAACAAATCTACGGGGTACGAATGAAAGCAAGGTCTTGTTCCAACGAGCCTCTGTTCCCGGACAGCCCGTGGTAAGTTCTCCTATACGTCAACTCACCAGCCCTTCCCTCAAAATGTTTGCTATCCCCAAGTGATCACTCATTTTGTTCCTAGGGCATAAGATTAATGGTGATTATCGGAGTTTTAATTTTCTGAGCAGAAAAATGTTGATCAATTAAATTTTAGGCGCAAAACCTCTTTTGTGCACATGGATGATGGTGACTGGCTTCACTGGTGAAGGGATTGTACTGGGTGCATGTAAAGAGGCAGCGTTACGTGAAGGGAGTCCAACCATTAGTCCACTTGGATTCATCCTATCTGAAAGGTTCGAAAGGCCATCCCATAAAGGAGCTGCGTAAACATTACTTATCCGTTATCACAGCTTAAACACCCACAGAGTGTAGTGGTGAACTATCAAAAAACCGAGTTTTATTATCAGTTCACAACCTATGACGCAGCAGTTAATATTTTGATACCAAACAGCGGATCCAACGTGCTAATTGGGGAACTAGGTACTGATGTAACCGCACTTGGTGGCCAGCATAACCTTGGGATTTGCAGAGCAGATAACAGTGGTCGTGTTCCTCAAGTCTGCGCCACCCATGTTTTCTGCCTTTCGAGTACCAATTTTCGACTATCATAACGCCAGTGTACCACTTAGCGACCTCCACCATGTGATCATCCTATAGAAAATAGACCACATTGTCATCCCCTGTATGTAGGGAAGCTGTATACCGGACTGCAAATCCACCTGCAGTATCCTAAGATTATGCATGTGTATACACTAAATTCTTTCGACGTTTTGGTGGGCAACAGTAACACCGCTCGAAATGACCCGCCTGGATGAAAAATCCAACCCAAACTCAATCACCGCTTGCCAAACCATGCTAAATGCTGATTTAATGCTAATCTATATAGTCTTGCATCATCAAATACTTATTGGGCTCATATCCAAACCGCTTCAGATTTGAACGGAAGTTAACTGACACACGTCAGCTTAGTTTACGAATGCACCACGTTGTATTTCAGGCATCATGATCACAGATCTTGGTAGTTACATGGTTTTGTATGTGATTTATTTTGATCGAGTAGGGTTTCCATTTTTTGTCAATAGTGTGTACTTCATCCATGTTTCTTTAGAATTTCATTATTTTATCCATCAACCAATATATCCCATTGATTCTCGTCCATTGTTCTTATCATCCCTGTTCATAATTGATCAGCTAGTGTCATACTCCGTGACCCAATCTGTCCTAGAATTGAATGTTCAGCCTCCCAAACAAACCGGAGGGATGGCAACTCTAGGATATGAGTTGTCGTACACATCTTTTGGTGGTTCAGGACACTGGTATGGTCCGGTACGATTCCCTGTGGACGCTTCGGATGACCAGGGACGGCCACGTTTCCGTATAATCGGTTTAGTAGGTGGGACCGGATATCAGTTCAAGCTAGCTGCGCGGAGTATTGTTGGATCTGGGACTCCATATGCTTTTTCTATACTTACTCTGGAAGCCACAAGGCCAGGGCCTGTTCAAGTGAGTACTGTGCAACGGCTTCCCCATGCAAGGTGCGATAGAACATTCTCGAAACAGAAATATTTTGATCTTGAGTGTTTGACTACTTATAAGCATCATAGTGATGTTGGGTGATATTATTATGTTAATCGAAACCGAAAGTTATTCTTCAAATGCAACGAATAGTAAAGCCAAATTTGGTCAGTGATGCCATACACGTTTCAATAAATCCTTCAGTTACTAAATGCTGGTGTCGATAGACATTCCTTAGTAGCAAAAGCGTGTCGATAAGCTTGTTGTCTTCAGCGTTTCTTAATCAAGTCAGTACGACGCAATATTGATTCGGATATGCTAAACTCCAGACTTTATCTTTACGCACGATTCTCATTTTAAAGGGGAATTCGTCGTGTATATAGCAAATGAAGCGTGAACTGGAAAGCTAGGAAGCACTGAACAGCTGTTTCCACCTGGTTGGGTCTCATCAGAAGTGCGAATCCATTGACCGGTCTGATCAGCTGCCCGGTGATCGAGTGTGTAGTATGCTTGCGGTCTGCCTGTGAGATCCCGGGTTCGATCCCCAAATGGATCAATTAGCATTGCTGCTGAGACCCAACCAAGTGGAAACAGCTGTTCAGAGCTTCCTAGTTTTTCAGTTCACACTTCATTTGCTATATACACGACGAATTACCATTTGAAATTGAATCAAATCCTTCATTACTCACTTCATTCTCATTTTATCCAAACATGGACCCGAGTTTCATTCCGATTAGAACTCACAATTACCAACTAATATATGTCCAGAATTCGACTTCAGCGAAAGTTAATCAGTTGTTTTGCCCCGACGCTAATGAAGAGAGATATAGCAAACTTTATACTTACTATAATCGAAAGCATACCACCGAGTCAATTATTCCTTAAATTTTTATGTATGACACTTAAATAAAACTTACTAGGCGAACTGTGAGTTGAACGCGAAATAAAATCAAAATCGATGTAATCGGTCCCAAACCAACACTCACGGCTAACAGTGAGTTGAGTGCGAACGTCATATAAATCATTGATTACAGAAAAGATTTCCTAAGGAATAAAGGATTCTTTCCATACACTCATATCTGAATTGACCTCAAAATGGATGCCTTCCTTCAATTTCCCGTTATTACTTCTTCGTGCATTTCCTACCATGTCATTTGTTGTTGCTTAGTCATCGAACAGCTTTGGAACGCACATCAGCGAATAATAGCTGTCTTCATTTGAGTAATTTATGAAACACCATCAGTCATTTTTTCCTGTAAAGAAAGTAATGCTTTGTTTTTATTCAGTTCGATTCATACTGTCGTTACAGTTGCATTTGGGTTTGGTTATCCACATGAATAAAGAAACTGATTGGATCCATGATCACTTCTATTTACCGTAGCCAGAATTTAGACTGATCCCGATGTATCCAACCAAAATCTTACCGCGACCTACATATCCAAGTCCCCTGAACACAACCACGTGTCAGGTTTTAGCTCGATCACCTTTGATCCTAGTTCGCCTCTTACCTGCCTCGGCAAACAACGTGCGCCGAAGCAGCCCATTTAGTGGTAGGCGCGATACGTGCCCGAGTCACTTAAATCTATGCAGGTCAAGCACTCGTTTCAGTACGCCACTTCATTCATAAGAAGATATTCATCTAACCGAGTTGTTGCTTTTCCGGCTACCCCAGCATAAATGAGCTATGTGACGCAGACTGTGGTGCTCGAAAACCAATAGTTAATTCTTATCTCGTTTCCCTAACCGCTGCGTCTCTGCGCTGTACAGCAGCTACATTCAAAACTCTGCCGTACAGATGCAATGCTTCACGGACAACCGAATGGCATGAAGGCGCCATGGATTCCCCAAGTTTACAAACGTGTATCGAGAACCATTCGTCCGTGATTCGTCCATCATGTGAGAAGTAGCTTCCCAAATGGCAAAGTGTTTTCTCAATGCCCTCGCCTTTTAGAGTAAAGTTAAGACCCCGCAAGTATCCAATCCTGTAAAAGGCATTTTCAATTTGGAGGTGCAAAAACAAGTACCGAAACTAGATACACTAAAAACTGAAATCATCCATATATATATATATATATATATTTCACACACGTCTGATGCCAGACTGTGCGCCAAACAAATCGTGGTACAATTACCTTGATAAAAAGAAAAACGCTCCATGATTTGCAAGTGGGCCGAATACTGCCAGGTTGCCCAGGCCAAGGCAGGTGAATTTTCTTGGTGAATCCATAATCGGAGCCTTTGGCTAACCAAAGCCTGACCCGCAAGGCAGCGGGACGGTGTGCGTAAACCACAATCCATTGGGAGCCGGTGTTCAATTCATCAGATCATACGCCTTTCGGATAGGGTCAAACGTCCTAGGTGCCCAATACACCTTGATGGCCAATCGAGCCGGTGACCACTACCATAACCGGAAAGGTCTGGGTGTGTTTAGTATGCTTCCTCTTGGTTGGTTTGGAATTAGGGTTTTTGGTCAACTCCCCTAGGTGAACTGTCAGTGGTTCACCAACCCGGTTATAGCCCCGAATATCAACTTTTCGTCCTCTCTTTTTCGTGCAAAAACACCTCCGCCACGAGAAGGTAGTAAGTAGGACTTCCTCAGCAGAGGCTATTTGAGACGCTCGGTCGTATGGGAG